TTCTTTGTTTAACCTTGCCTTTAAAAGGAATTAAAGATTCCTTTTAGAGGAATCTTTTAAATCAAAGATTTAAATATCTTGGTTATTGCTAATTTTGGTTATTGCTTACGTGACGGAAAGACTGGCTGAGGTAAGAATCATCAATAGATGCTAAATTTGGGGGAGAAACTTTGATGAGGAACAGTGCATGGTCTTAAAACATCTCCCTCAAATGTTGCTTACGAGTTCCTAATGAGTAAATACATAGAAATACTGGAACCCCTTAACCAGGTGGTCATAACAGCAACGTGAGGAGAAGATGGACACTGAGTGTCTGTGTGTGTGATAACCTCAGGATGTTTCATCACTTATGTAGCATCATGGCCTGAAATACATAATCTTAATGTAATCATTAAACATCAATCAAAGGTTTCAAAGACATACATTTTACTTAAAGGGGATGGCTGTATTACTCAAAAATTTCAATGTCATAGGGATGAGAGGCTAAAGAACTCCTAAAGCAGATAAAGAGACATGAGATATTTATACAAACTTAGTGGGCTTAGAGTAACACAAATTTATTATTTTACCATTCCTGAGTTCAGAAGTCTAACACAGGTCTTACTAGGCCCAAATCAAGGTGCTCACATGGGCTGGGTTTCCTTTAGGGGCTCTCCAGGAGAATTCCTTGCCTTGCCGTTTCTAGCTTTGAGACCACCTGCATCTCTTGACCTGTGGCCCCTTGCCGCATTTTCAAAGCCAACAGTGTAACATTTTTTAATCACTCTCTCTGGCTCTCACACTCCTGCTTCCCTCTTATAAGGATTCACAAGGTTAAACTACGCCCATCTGGATAATCCCAGATAAACTCATCCCCAAATCCTTAATTACATCTGCAAAATTCCCTTTACCATGTAAGATGCTATATTCACAGCATGGGACATCTTTGGGGAGCCATTATTCTGCCTATCATACTAATGTCAAATGCAAATCATTATCCTAGATTGGATCTTGTACTGGAGGAAAATAAATACTAAAAAAAAAAAAAAAAAAAGATAAAATTTAAGAAAACTGAAATACAGCCAATAGATTCAAATATTTTGGTTATTGCTAAATTTACTGAAGCTGACAACCAGATTGTGGTTATGTAACAGAAAATCCTTTACTTAGGAAATACACACTTAAGTATTTAGGAGTAAACAGCCATTATGTATACAAATGACTCAATGAGTTTAGAAAACTAACAACACACATCTGAGGACAGAAAGCAAGCATTTAGTAAAGCAAATGAGGCAAAATGTTAAAAAGAGATAAATATGGATTAGAGTTTGTGAGTATTCTTAGAATATTCTCATAACTTTTCTGTAAATTTGAAATTATTTCCAAATAAGTTAAAACTGAAAAATCTAAAATTAAAACCGATCATTTTCTTTTTACTCAAACACTATAAGCAAATCATCATTTATATCATTTTATAAACATTAGAATGACTGCAGATGTGTGGTACAAATTCAGCAACCCAATTTTTGCTGAGCCACCTAGGTGTCCCAAAACCCAGGGCCTCCTTTTTTTCCCTTCTTTTTTTCAGAATTCATTCATTCATTCATTCATTCTTTTTTTTTTTTTTCAGAATTTATTTTTTTAAAGTAATTTTCTACACCCAACACGGGGCTCGAACTCACATTCCCAAGATCAAGAGGCGCGTGCCCTACTGACTGAGCCAGCTAGAGGCACCCCCTAAAACCACTATAGTGTTAACTAATTCAGGCAAGCATTATCCATAGATGCTAAACTCACAGAGTGAAAGATTCTTGGGGAAAGATACTCACAAAGTTTCAAAGTACTACCCCCACAGGACTCTTTGTTTTTAAAATTGAAGTGAAATTCACATAACATGAAGTTAATAATTTTAGAGTGCACATAATTTTAGAGTGTATTAAGTACATTCACTCTGTTGTGCTGGTCTTCCTGTGGTAACATTACTGGCAAATAGAAGGATCAGAAACGTTTAGGATTCTTAAGGTTAGTGACTTAAAATCCTAACAGTCTGGCAATATGATAGTTTCAAGAGTTTAAAATAGAATTGGTAATTATCACTGGATTTAAATGCCAACTGGTTGGTCACACCCTGCTATTAGTGAGAGAGAATCCGCTAGGTAATTTCTAGGAGGTCTCTTAGAAAAATACTCCTTACCCCCAACCTACCCCCATTCATAGGAGTATTTAGCGGATTTTTAAAGCAAAAGTGCAACAATGAACTGTATTCTATTCTAGAGCCTTCTTCTTCTTTTTTTTTTTTTTTTTTTTTTAAGATTTTATTTATTTCTGCTCTGTGCCTCAAGCAGAATTTTATTGCTTTGGCCCCAGAGAATCTTTCTGGTACCCATTCTGATTCCTACTCTGCCCTCTATTGTTTAAAAACAAAAGATAAGGCAGCTGAGACTCTGACCAGTGACAAATCATCACTGGCCTCTCTACTGGGAAATTCCACTGGTCTTGGCAGAAACTAACATTTTAAAATAAGGGTAAAACAAAGCGTTAAGACCCCGCTTCTCCCCAAAGCCTTATGCACGGGCTTATTTTTCTTGCCAATTGTGGTAGCCGAGAACAAAGTTTCTCCAGTTGTGCCAGGACAGTATGCCAAGTTCAAATAATAGTGGACTTTTCTCAATTACAGAAACAAGAAAAAAAATATGGCAATGAATTAGCTTTATTTTTACAAGTTTGGCTCTTGATACCAGCAGCCCATACTGAAATCTGTGATTTGGCACAATCTATGATTATACCAGCACAACATAATTTATTTTGTTACTTTTAGTTTAACATTAAGAGCTGCATGATTTCTTTAAGTTTGGCAATCATAGATCTAAATGCTTCTACAGTCAGGAGCACGGTGCATCTTTATTACTTAAATGTTTCACTTAGAACACCTTCCTTTGCTGTTGTAATTATTTGGAAACTCGCATTCGATAACCCAAGGTTAAATGTCAGGTGACCTGGGGTTTCTTTTTAAGACTGTCACTTTTTAGTTGTATAACTTTGGGCAAAACACTTGTAAACCCCAGTGTGTCATTTGTAAAACAGAAATCACACAAATCATAGTAGCTATCTTGACTTCCTGGTAGGGTTTTTCTAATCATCCGAGGAGATAAATATGTGAGATCATTTTGAAAATTTAAAAAAAGCATTATATAAAAAGGCCCAACCATCCCCCTCACCTAGTTATTATTAAAGTTTTTTTGCACATAAGGCTAGGTGATGTGTTTGTTATTTTTAAAGATTTTTTTTAATTTATTTATTTATGATAGAGAGAGAGAGAGAGAGAGAGACAGAGACATAGGCAGAGGGAGAAGCAGGCTCCATGCACCGGGAGCCCGATATGGGATTCAATCCCGGGTCTCCAGGATCGTGCCCTGGGCCAAAGGCAGGCGCCAAACCGCTGCGCCACCCAGGGATCCCCGATGCGTTTGTTATTTAAAGCATCTGGTAAAGTGCTGCCTCCACAGTTTTTCCTAAACAAATACTTTACTTGCTGCCTGAGTAATTGAGTGACAAGATTAATTAAATTTCAGGCTGCTATGATTTTACATTCCCCCCCTAATTCAATGGGATAGACACTCACCTTAACTTGAAGATATCTAGTTCAACATGATGCAACAAGTTCTAGGGAACTTTAGATAGTTCATGCTAACTAAAATGCTTAGTACTTTCCTAAGGAAAAGAAATAGGCCGCTGAGGTTCTCTTGAAATGATAACTTAGGGTCTTTGAAAGACTTTAAGCACAAGCACTTAGTGATGTGCTTACCACACTTAAACTGGTAATAATTTTGATTGACTAACCCACAAAAAGTACTCAAGGCCTAAGACAGCTTGTGCGCAGTGGATTTGTAATAAGTACTTCATAAATCATGGAAAGAGGTCTACTTGCGGAGTAACCCAAATGATTTTAAATTAACTCAGGGAACACAATACAGCAGTTGAAAGGAACCAACACGGATTAGCACATTACATGTCAAATGTGTGTTGCAAAATATAAGCAAGTTGCAAAGTGGTATATACAGTATAATGCTATTAAGTACGAAAATACAAATATAGGATCTTATGTGTATGAGTGCAGATTTGCAGTAAATGTAAAAGAGCAGCTATGCGTTGCTGCATTCAACTCAACTCAAGGTGATGCTATCCTCATGCCAGGCCTTGATAACATGCAGTGGGATGAAAAATTTCAGTTCATAATACTTGTTTCTAACAGTCAAATTGTCTGTAAGAGACAAAGTGGGGACCAGTGGAGATAGGAGAGAGGCCATACTGGGGTCTTTAGTAATATTTATAATGTTTGATTAAAAAATACATCTGAAGTAATAAATATTGCACCATGGTAAAGTTTAACAAGGTTATGGGATAGGTACATAGGCATCTCTATGCTTCCAGGATTCCTTCATGTATGAATTCTGATCATTTGTAATCAGAAAAATAATTTAAATTTCTTGGTTGCAGTAATACAGGTATATTTATAATCATAATCTCATTTATATTGTAAGTTTCTAAGAATCTATTGACTAATAAATTCTTAGATAAAATATATTGTGATCTGAAATTAAATAGGAAAGAGACTTATAAAGGATCTTTTCAGGTATGCAAAGAATTTGCATAATTTTATACTCAAGCCTTTTTTTAGGAGGAAGCTAAAGGAAAGGGAGAAATCTGTGGCCAGCTCTAAGGAAGATGATCTTATTTACTTTAGAAGTACAGGTCCAGGACACATGTGCTGAAAGGCTTATCTCTAAGTAAAGTTTAGCAGTTATTTGAGGATAAATCCATGCAAGTCAAATTCCAAGGATACTTTCTTCAAATACTGACAATTAGCTAACTCCTAAATGGCAGATCATTTCCTGTCTCAGTAGAATGATCCCATCTCTCTTGTCAGCTCTTTTGTCAGATAATTTTCTGTCTCAGTAGAATGATCCCATCTCTTTTTGTCAGCTACTAAAAAGAAACTCAGAAATGTACAGTTTACATACCAAAACATCCATCCCGGGGACATATTTGAGGGCTATCTTATAGTCTTTTGGAAGATTTGCCACCTACAGAGACCAAAACAAGAAGAAAAGAAAAAGGGGAAAAATCCATGAGAAAATTCATATATAGCAATCATACTGTTTTTAGTGGGAGAAAAACACATACAAACCTGTTATATTGTTTTTGAGTTATCACTGAATTTCAATATTTACATAGTGATTTTCCATTCTTGACTTCCCTTTGTAATCAAAGGCACTCTCCAAAAATAAAGTGATAATGCAAGTCTTTAGATTCCAAATTCGGTAATGAATAGAAGTATAATCCAGTGAGTTTTAGAAACATCTAAATTTAATTTCTACCTGTGGTCTTAGAATTCCCTTCCAGTTTCCTACTGTTTCACCAATGAATCAGCAATACAATGTTTTGTTTTGGGTTTTTTTTGATCAATGATTCTCAAAGTGATGTGTCAACATCACCAGGGAACGGCTAAAAAATGCAAATTACCAGGCCACATCAGCTCTACTAAATCTTACTTATGTCCTCCAGGTGATTTTGATACAAATTTGAGAACTTGTTGATCCTAGGAAAAAAAGGTCTGTGAAACCTCAAAAGAACACTACCACTCAAGAGATGCAAATACTTTCTAATTTAAATAATTTGTAAAGACTCCCTTCTGTAAAATAACTTAATCTCCTTACCGAGGCCTGAACCTTGGAAATGTCTCAAATATTTACCTAGCTTCTTTTAAAGGCTTTTTAAAAGTGTCTAACACATTTCCATCAGTCATTGTGGCATATATTGAACAAATGCCTGATTTGGAACCAAATCTAAATTCTATACTTTGGTTTCTTTCACCTGTAAGATGGAAATGAAAGTACCCATGTCAAAAAGACAATTTCCAAAATGAGATAACTGAAAGTGCCAAACACATCATAAATAATCTGTATTCTATCTTGAGAGATATACTGGCAACTGACTTTCAAGGTATATATATCCTGGTATATTACAGAGTTCTAGGTTCCCGTATCTCCTTTCCTCCATATAGCACCAGCTCTGTCATACAATCACAATTACGATTTCCAGCTAAATATAGCCAACATCTGATTTGGACTATTGAGTCTTAAGAGAATATATGATGTAAAAAAGTAGTTTTGCACTGTTCCATCTTGCACAAGTCTACCTTATTTATTTTCCCCTTCATCCTTTCTCTGAAAACTTTGCTCTTCTCCATATTTTTTAAAGATTATTTATTTATTTATTAATTATTTATTTATTTAATTTATGATAGTCACGCACAGAGAGAGAGAGAGAGGCAGAGACACAGGCAGAGGGAGAAGCAGGCTCCATGCACCAGGAGCCTGACGTGGGATTCGATCCCGGGTCTCCAGGATCACGCCCTGGGCCAAAGGCAGGTGTTAAATCGCTGAGCCACTCAGGGATCCCTGCTCTTCTCCATATTAAAGCTAGGACCTTGCTCATGTTTTCTGGACTAGGTCACCTCTTACAAATCTATAACACAATCTGTATGTTTCTTCTTGGCCATGCTAATAGCTTCTAGAATCTGAGAACAATTTTGGGGGAAAGAATACAGGCAAAGGCATAAGTAGTCAAAAGGGAGCCAATGTAGTAACCAATCCCTTTGTGCTTACTACCATTTTACCTCCAATGGTACCACCTCACACTCATCTCAGTCTCGGGTCTAATATATTCTGAATATGTTATCAGGCACTATGTTCGTAAGAGTACATGCTGCATAGTCACATTCAATTTTCCAATCTCTGTGACATATTTCTCTATTAACTTGAGGTTCAAATAGGTCAAGCAACTAGACTAAGGTCGCACAGCTACTCATGTAAAGTATAGACTAGAACTCAGATCTCTGACAACACAGCCTCCCTTGTCTCTTTTGTTCTATTAAACATTTCATCTACTCTGTGCACATTTGTCCTGGGTACTAGAACCTCTCAGTAAAATTTCTGACCATGCTTCCATAATTTCTTTTGTCTTTTGGATTTTCATCTCCATCTCTGAAAAGCAAAATGACCCACTCACTTTATGTAAGCCCTGCTGGCAAAGACAGCTGATGCTTTTACATGTATAAAAGCTGAAATTGGACTGAGCAGCAACATTTTATTATGTTATGAGCCAACCATGTAAGTAAAAGTCATTCCAGATGGAGAAGCATGACAAAAAGTGGCAGTTGTTCTGAACACAACTTGTTTGACAATCTAGACCCTCCTTAAGGAGGGAGTCTATCGATCTATCTATATAAAATTGACAGAATTAGTATTCAGAAAACTTAGGACCTGAGCGTATACATAAACCTAATGAGCAGAATAAAATGTAAGGGATATGGCCAATTCCATTTTTTTAGTAATTTACATACAAAACCCCGTTCAAAGAAACCTTACTGAACCACACTGAAATCTCCGTATCTTACAACTTGGTGCGGTGGTGGTGGTATATAATAACAATTTCTGCATTAAACTGATTTACTGATATTTAATTCCTGGTGGGAATAAAATACTAGTTTCGAAAAATGCTTTATAATTTATAACAATTTTTCATATATAGTCTTTGCCATAACCTCATGAGACATATATTTTTAAGCCTGTCTTATAGATGAAGACATGGAGGCTCACAGGGGCTGTTATTTCAAGGTAGTGGGCATCAGGACTTTCTGATGGAGGGAGGATACAAACTTGGCCCTGTGTGCTTGGCTCAGCACTGTCATCTACAGAGTAGTCTCCCTTTATTACTTTCTTGGCTTACGTTGGTTCCTTTCCAATTACATTTGGAAGAGAACTTAGAAGTCAAGTTGTAGATTTTTATGGTTGCTTCATGAATTATTACAGGACTTTCTGAGCACTTAAGAGTGTGTTGAAGAGCACTCAGAAAGCACAGGTAACTGTAATTAAATTCAGCTTCTTTGATGTACATTGATGGTTATAGACAGTTTGGCAGTGTAGAGGGAAGGAGCCTTTGGCCTGGAATTTAGAAGACATTCCTCTGAGTTTCAAGTTTGATGTAGGAGCCATAGTACAGGTTCTGGGGACACACTCTTCTGGTTGGATCCAGGCCTTAACATATGTTAACTCAGATCATGGGCAAGTTATTTAATCTACTTTAGCCTTAATTCGACATGTATAAAATGGGAATCATAACAAAACCTAGCCAGTGAATTTATAAAGACTAATAACTAAGAAACTCATTTAAAACACTTAGTGCTTAAGCATGGTATGTATACGAAGAAGAGTTTATTAATTCCAAGAGAGTGAGATATTCTAGGTAGATGAGGTGACACAGGCAAAAACAAAGAAACAGGAAAGCACAAGTGTGTTTGGGAGACCATGGACAGATAAATCAGGCTCTAGCAGGTAAAGGATAGGAAATACACCAAGAAAGCTACATTAGAGAAGGACTTTAATGTTGGGCTAAGGAGGCCCAATGGGAAGCTGTGAAGTTCAGTAGAACATGTCCTACCACCAAAACCCTACAAACAAGTCATTTCTGCCTCATTTCGGTCTGTTAAACTTCTTGTCTGTAAAATAAAGGGAGTGAACTAGATAATTACCAAAAATTCAGTCTGATCAAACTCTCTCATGGAAGTAGTGGTGCTACACCGACTGTCCAAGCAAGGAGGAGGATCAGGATAGTAAATTCAGGAACATTGGTCTGGAAGGATGGATTGCATCAAGGACAGAATAGAGACCAAGAAAAGTTTAGGAGACCACTGGAAAAGTGCTGAACATGTATTAAATATTTATACAGAGACTAGAAGCTGAGAAATCAGAAATGAGGTTTAGATTCTAGGGAAGTAGCCTGTTGATAGGGTTAGATGGATAAGTAATCAAAACTATAGATTTTGAAAATAAATGCAATTCCAGTAAAATAAGTTCAGGGGAAAAAAAAAAAAGGAATGTAATTGATGGAAAACTCTACTACCAAAAGCCAAATTATCCCAATGAGCTTTTGTCGTTTGGAGTATGAGGATGTCAATATTATTCCAGATTGTAAAATGCATAAAATTGGAAAAACAAGTCACTTTATGATGGGTTCAGTCTACCAGATGGGCCCCATTGAGTGTCTTTAAGATTGACCATACTCAGTGACACTGGGAAAAACAAAAACAAACAAAACATATAAGGGAATGGCATGTGGAAATGCTGAAAACTCTGCCAAGACAAAGCCTTCTTATGCCAAACAGACACTGGCTGCAACCATGTCCTAAAGGTATTTGGACTCTGGAGCAAAAGGACTCAAAGAACAGTTAATGCCCTCCCTACATCACTAATCTAAAATCTTTGGATCTCATGATTCAAGTATCATTGAAGTCTCTAAATCTCATAAAATCAGTGGCTTCTAGGACATCTTTTCTGAGACACTTACTTGTCTCAGTTATTTCTGAGTGCAAGATATGAATCAAAATGCAGTCGTAGTACCTCCTGATTCCTTTGACACTGTACAAAAATGTTGTGCATAAGTGAACATCTCTGGGGAAAGAGTCTCAGCAGTTTCCAGAGTCTCAGCAGACCCAGAGAAGAATAAGAATCACTGCGATGGAGGGGGGCAAAAAAAAAAAAAAATCTATGCTTATATTTAAATATCCCAGCTCATTCATATACAACAGCTTAGTGTAATGCTGGTTTTCAGAAAGAACACAGGAGAAAGCTTTTCATTTTTTTTTTTAATTTTTCCTTTTAAGTCATCCTCTGTTAATACTAACAATCTAACTCATCAGGACAATGGTCTTTAGTTTTCAAAGGTTTTTTTTTTTATCATAACACAATTAGCGATTAACAAAATTAAGATGACAACTTTACAAGACTTTCCTGAGTCTTCTCAGTGAAGAATACCTAAATAAAGTTAGGGGACTCATCTTCCTCCAAAAAAATAATAAAAAGATAAAGATTTTCAAAAGAAAGTTGATAAGAACATCTACAATATGATCACTTCCTATTCATAAAGTGACTACTACCTAGGAAATTCAAGAGGTTACAATGATAATTCTTAAAACTGCAGTTGACATTTCCATCTTAAATTCAGACATCATAAATTATGAACT